ACAAAACATTTTCTCGACCAAGCTGCATGCAGCGGAGAAAATTTGTAGCATCCAGAACGATCTAGTTATAACTGACCTGTTGCAACTTGAACATGCGGTAATGTTTCGAAAGGGAAATAAAATTGTCCTCAGTGATCACGTATTATTTATTACAACTAAATCCATTTCATAAAATATATGCCAGAGAGGGTAAAATATACCTTTAATAAATGTGGGCCAACTTTCCAATACGCCTCTTCTGACTTTATACTCATATTCCAAAGCTTTTGTCATCCGTGGGAACATTACTGAAGAAAATCCCTGAAAATGGAGTCAGTATCTACCTCCGAAACGTTGGAACTTCCCTACAAATCCACACAGAATTACAACCCAGAAGACCAGTATCGAATTTGCTGGAAATAATTATCTGAAACTCCTTTTCTACTCTTGTCATGTTGCTCCGAATGTGTTAAGGTAATTCAAAATTGGTCCATTTCAAATGGGTTTTCGGTATACGGCCTAATTTCGGAAATTTATTTTGTGGCTAGGCGCGATGTCATATATAAAATCCACATTATGCCTGCTTCAGCGGATGCATTGCCTAAAACGTTTCAGAATTCAAGATAGAATGCATGCTTGACTGCTTTGTACGAATAAACTCGTGACGTATATCCTTTGATATCTCACACCAGATCAGCTTGGTTTTGACCTTTGATGTTTATACTCTCACTATGTCTCAGACTGTGGTATTTTCCATTGGTGTTTTTGTGTCGTCCTGAAAGAACCAGTTATACAATCATTTACTGTATTTCCCCCCCCCAAAAAAAAAAGAAGTTTGTTTTTCCATCGAACCTGTTGAAACGTCAAATTTATGTTTTTGTAATTTTCTTATACCAACACCTGCGTTCAAGTTATTTCAAACGCTGTTGGATTCCCAAAGACCCTCTCTCTCTCTCTCTCTCTCTCGTAAGAACCACAAATATCATGCATCTAGGTTTTTTTATTCTGCGTTGAAATGGGTTTAATTATTTCTGAATCAGCGTTAATAACACGGTAGGGAGATCCAATCCTCCCGTCATTGACATAAAGCTAAGGACGAGACAACAAAAGGTCTAGTACTTTGAGAGCTTAAGGGCGATGATAAAAATGTTTTATTGGTGCCGTTCTGTAACGCCGGGCTATGTAGGCAACTTCTCCGTCACGACTGTGAAGCTTGTGTGTATTACCCTTTTGATCAGGCGTTCCCGGTTAGAAGCGAATTACCTCATAAAAATAAATGCTACTGGTTAACACTAGCTACCAAATTGGCGGCCTTAAGAGATTGAAATGACACGGACTGAGCGACAAAACAGTTTAGTTCCTTTCTCTACATTTCTAGACGTCTTATTAACCGGTTTCATAGGTGGCATTGGGGCAGAAAATGCTTCGTAGTTTGTTGTGGATAATCGATAACTGAAAACTTAGTGAAGTTGCCAAAATAAAAGTATGAAATTTCCCTCCGTCTCTTTAGCTTTGGGCACTGTGTGTTACGATGCTGCAAGGTCACATAATGTACTGAGTCTGTCTCTTATGAATGTGACCTTCGACCTGCAGATGGTAGGTGGTAGGGCTGGTCAACACGCAACATCTTGCGGCTACTAGACTATTTCGAGTCTGGCCACATATGATCTGTTACTGGCCATTTAAGAATTTAATTTCCGACGTGTGGTGTTTTCTTTGCGGTACGGGCTGAATTCGTAAATTTATGTAGTCGAGCTTCGGCTTCAGAGGGTTAGAAGTGAACACGTTTTGCAATTGCGCAGTTACAATTGGGATTCACTGGTGCCAAAATGCATTCCTGTTTGGTTTGCATATCGACGCTGTCATCAGATTATGAATTGGGAAGGACGTGGCCAACTTTAAGGTAACATTCGTAAGTTGGTCCTCTTGTCACCATGGCCTGGCACGTAATCAGGTAGCCATTCCCTTGTCTTTGAATCCGCGCATGCTGATATCAGTTGTGAAAACTTGTTGGGTTGTATTGAATTAGGTTAGGTTAGTCATGCGCTGATGTTCATGGCTGCCTGTTGTCTTACACCGGGTGAAATTTGGTCTCTCGCCTTGGGGGAACAATATGTTTTTCGGGTATATGAGAACAGGATACTGAGAATGTAAAATATTACTAGAATGTTTACCCGTCAATTGTTCATAAAACGTGTTTTTCAACAAAAAGTGGAATTTGAGAAGATTTGAAGAAATAATTACATTTTATGACACGTAGAAATTGTCGGCTGAAACTGGGAAGAGTAAACAGTTATTTTCATACGGTATCACGCAACATGGTTACATAAACATTCGTATTTTGTATTCGTTGGTTATTATTGGACAGAAGCTGGATTCAGGCAGTATGCGTGTTCAAATCGTAATTGTTATGACAGCACTGTAGTTTGGTTTGGAAATCGAATGATCACGTCCGCACCCATTTCTAGTTGGCAGCCGAAAATTACCGAAGATAGCCGAACACTAATTCAGTATTTCCCCTCTGTCACCCCCTGCGCGATCCTTTCGTTATGAACCGAGCCGAGCGAGAGTGTTGGGAGAACTGGCATAAACCAGTTGGAAGCCGATTTGGGTCGCCTGTCTATCCTTAGAAAACCTTCATTTGGAGCATCGCTAGTTGATGTGTTGGTTGCTTGAGTGTAGTGATTTCGTTGTTGTTGTACGGAGTAAACGCAACGAGCGTTGTTATTTTGTTTTGAAGTGACATATCCGTACCTGTTTCATCTTAATGTAACTGAGTCGCAGCATATGCGCAACACTTTTTCATCCTTTTCCTGTCAATGTATCAGGTAAAGGGATTGCGTTGAAAGGCGTTTTCAAGTTCTTCGTCATTTCGGCATTGTGGGTAATAGCGAATGAGTGTACAGACATTGAAACAGCGTTCGGAACTTACATACGCACGCCAGTGTGATTATTTTCTATCTCAGTATACGGAACGAAATTTCAACATTTGGGAATGGTGTACGCAGCTACGTTCAAAACACCTAGACTCGGCGAAATATACAAGCCTGGGGTCCGACAAGGGAACTGCTTCGTTCGTCAAGATCTCTTCATTAGCTGACAAGCAGCCTCTCCGCCCTGCGGTAAAGAGAAGTGATTGCAATTTTCAACTACAGCCACTTCGCCATCATTGTTACAGTAATCACTTGAAAAAGAATTCCACCAACTACAAGAACACACAGGTTATCCAGAACAAGCAGCTTCTGACAGGACTGGACGGGCTCCTCTTGTACGAATACTGTTACCCTCTTCAGTATTCCATCACCTGTGGTCCGAATGTCATTGAACTTGCATGGAAGAGGAATCGCAAATTGACGGGGAAGAAGTGTAGGTGCCCAGAAAATCCCACATAAATTTACTAACGTCCAAGAATACTTTTTAATTTTTAATCAAGAGTTTTGTCTTGTTTATACAGCAAACAGTATTAACGAAACACAATACCTTCATTTTCTGAAGGAAATTAAGTCCTTGTCTTGGTTCCAGTTCATCTGTTAATATATTTTTACAAATGCAAATCCAAGATCAGAAGCCAGACGTTAGAAGCAGGTTTGACGCTTTTTGACAGTTGCTTTGTCACTTTTCTTTCTCTCCACATTTTACTCATCACCAAGTGTTTCTTGGTGCATGTTTGTTTCTACTGATTCATGTTTCGTAATTCTCCAGATGAGCGATTTTTACCTAGTCAGAAAAGAATAGAGAAACTTTGGTGTTCTCATATTTCAATATGAAACATTAAATAGGACATAGATTCTCATTTTTCAACTTGACAAGCCTCCCATTTCCGACATACATTCTGCAGATATATTGTGTGTGTGTGGTGAAAGAATTTGTTGATCAGTCATGTTGGTTCTAATTAACACTGTGACATTGGCCCATGACGACTTTGTGGTCAGCACACGTTTCTATCATGCGATGTCGACAGTTCCTAATGAACAACGTATTCAGCTGGCATTACTTGGAAAGAGGGTTGCTGTAACATTTAGAAGAAGACGTAGCAGTCGGCTAGCCACTGGGGATGCAAGGCTAGTGTACTATCATAAGCGACCACGGCATCTGCACTGTCGGGGAGGCTGGAGGGCTGTTATTATGTAAGAACATGTTACTTATTCCTTAAACTCAAAAGCACATACATGGTTCAAATTTGACCTGGAATTTTTATAATAGTGTCTCGGTAAATAATCTTGCCTGTTATGTATTACACTGCTCCTGCATGTAAAAACTTGGCCAGTGGAATATTTTAGGATTGATGGATAAATTGAGAAACTACAATTCTGGGTCAAATTTAAACTTTCCTTGTATGCCAGATCTGATTACTTCTTCTTTTCCTTGGATTTTCATGGCAGGATTTCAGTGTACATGGATTTTGTGGGGTGAGCTCGCGTCAGTGCAGCTCATCCCTAAATCCGATCAATTTGTATCGACCAAAACTGTAGTATTTTGTAAATTAAATGTTTTCAGATGCAGTGAATACAGAACCTAGGAAGGATAAAATAAGTGTGGAATTTAGAATAGCGCCTAACGAGGAGCTGCGTGAATTGTACGGGTCACCTAGCATAGTGAGGATAGTGAAAAATAGGAGTCTCTGGTGGGCTTTACATGTAGCACGCATGGGAGAAGCAATGGGTGCATACAGAATTTGAGTATGGAATCCTGGAAAATTACCACTAGGCAGACGAAGGAGACGGGAGGATAATATCAAGATGGATCTTAGGGAGATCAGCTGTGAGGATGGTAAATGGATGGAGTTGGCTCAGTATCTTGGCCGGTGGCAGGTTTTGATGTTGGACCTGCGGGTTCTGCTACGAGGGACTTGGTTCATTATTGAATACAGAACAGGTTCAGTAAAATTGTTATAATTGTAATTAATTGATGGAATCAAACTACCTAAACTGTGTAACTTAGAAAACTTGCTTATTCACATGCTGTTAAACTGTTTTAAGGCAGTAACTTGTCTCATGACAAAAACTACCTAAGTCTTTTTTAGTATATCACTGACACACTCTACGATAGTAGAGGTGTAGTTCCTACTTATCTTGACTTTGGCGTTAGATAGCAATGAGTGGTTAGCATATCATGCCCTGGTAGGTTGTTGGGTGGGCCCCAGATTCAGTCTTGATGCAAAGGCTAGAAGGAAATTGGGTACTTGGGGGTTATCGGGACACATCGCTTTAAAAATAGGTTAGGTTAGTTGTCATTTATTAAAATAAAATATAATAACTTTCAAGTATGTCATTTATCCACACACATTAACCTAACCTAACATATTTTTAAAGCGATGTGTCCCGATAACCCACAAGTACCAGAAATTGTTTGCGCCTGCCAGATATAGAACCCCCAGTCATCCGATCTATTGCCGTCATCTTACCTTCTGAGTTACCACAGCTGTCATTGTACATATTTGTATTCTGTATGTTTTGAATTGTAATTACTAATTGATTGAATACTTGAACGTCATGATGGAGGGAGTGAGTGAGATAATTTGAGAGAAAACTTAACGAAGATGACCAATGCTCAGAATATTGTGCAAAAATAACATGGTATAAGTTTCCTGTTACAATGCCACGCTATTTTTCTGCCACCCCACACCTTAATGGCAGACAGAGTCGGACTCCTCAGTAAGCTGCAGAACATAAAACGATGACGTGGATCCCAAGCAGAGACCTTATAAACTTTGCCTGACCCCATGTTCCTTTAAGCGGCCCATCCACGTACGAGTCTGGCTTGCGCGTCCGGCTCGGCTTGGGTCCCATCGAGCCAAACTCGTTTGTGGGCGGGGTGTCGTGAGCCGAGCCTGCTATGCACGTGTGGTGAAATATATCCGAGCCCGGCTCGTACGTGGATGGGCCGCTTTATAGTAACTTCTCCTCCGTTTGTCTGTAACTTGGCTTCCTTTGCTTACTGCTTTCTAAAGCTTAAAGTAGGATGAAGCATGTCGTTCCTAAGAGCTTTGTTTCTCATGCTAGAAAATTAATTGAAGATGGAAAAAGCAAACTTACTATTTGCCGTAAAACTTGTGTGACATTCAATTTTGTAGATGGCTGCCAATGTTTTGGGGGGTGATGTACTGTCACCATCTTCAGGGTCAGAGTTGGAGGTGACTTGTTCCTCTGAAATGTTGGTAAACATGTAAAATCCAATAATTTGCGCTACTATTTATGCAAGGGAAACAATGGTGTTAGTAAGTGATCAGATATTTTGAAAATATTGCTATAGAAGTTTATTTCTGTGTTATGTTAATGGAGGCGTAGTAGTATAATGCTCTTCATCTTGTCCACCGTGTTTGTCTTTGAGGATGGCCACAGTAAGATGGCACTGACATCACTTATTTCATCTGGAATCGTGGCTGTTTATACTGAAATACTAGTTTGAAAGAACATGCTATTTTGTCTTCAGGCCAATTGATCTGCTGTTTAGAATGTGCACAAAGGATACGCAGACTGATAATTACACTGTGTGTGTGACTCGTGTAAGCGTGCAGACGGTCCGCATCACACATGCCTGTAGTGTTGAGTAGTGAGAAATATGAAATATACTAGGTAGAAGCTGTATGTTGACGTACATTACAGTGGGAACCAGCAAAGAGGAGGTCGTGGCACTCCGACAACCAGCAGTTCTGCGACGCCTGTAGCCATTGTGACGACCAAGGAGGAACGCAGTAGCCAGCCAGTAGTGACAAATTTGGCTCCGCTTCCAGCTCCTCCTGCCAGTGCCGTGTTGCCAGACCCTCAGCCTGTTCCCAGTGTTTCAGAGTTACCGGTGAGTTTGTCTCTCAAGTTAACACCGTTCTGGTTTTCAAGGATTTGCTGCTCGATATGAGCTTAATCTCAATTTTCAATACCTGTTAATGAACCTCTTCTTCTATGGCTCTCCGGTCCGTATTTGGTCCATGGCCTACTCAATTCTCCTCTTCCATTCGGTCCTCTGTTAGGTCTGTCTGTCCGAGGCTTTGATTGAGGTCTCGAAACATGTTCCTTTTTACGGTGCAAGGTTGTTAGCCTTGCGACCAACCCCCAACCTTGAGGATCAGGGTACCTATCTTAGTCTGACCTCTCCCCCTCGACCAATCTGGCTAGGGTGGCCCTACCAGTAGCTCTTGGGGTCACTGAGGTACTCAAGCCCCACCACCACGACAAGGCACAGGTGTTATGTTTAAGTAAAGCATTTTCTTTCTAGAGCATCCACCGAAGATCTTTTAAATGCTGTTGTTTGGTTCCTGTTTTAGTAAACGGAGCTTTCTCAGCTTCATATGTCCCTCAGCGTCAAATTGTGGGTTAATTTGTGAATGGATTTGGAAGGAAGTAGTATTTGTCTGAAGGCCAAATGATAGCCAGATCAGAATTTGAACCCGGATCTTCTGAATACAAAGTACAAGTGTTAGTCACTCGACTAATACGTTGTTTTAATTTGCATGTAAAATCTATGCAGCATAGGAGAGTATCATATAATTTTCGTAATTCCGTGCTCGATATTTTAGCTGGGTCTTTGAGACGACTAAATAAATTATATCCAAGTGATGAGACTGCCCTTCAGAGAGTCATGGTAATCGCCTTTAAAGGAATTCAGTTTTAATATTGCAGTTGTTAAATGTTGTTGCTTTTGATAACAAATTTTTCACTGTCCAAATTTGACTAACAAGATGACAAGGTTATCTTCAGTTCACCTGCGATTAGCAAAGGAAGATTTTAATTTGGTAAAATAATGATGCCCGTCTCATAATAAGTGTTAATTAGGTTTAATTAACACTTGTGAGCCCTTACAATCATGTCCCAGTCAACAGATGGTGTGATTTTATAATTAACTGGGGTATTTAATGGCCTATGGTTTATAATAAGATTCGGCTGATTATACCGAAGTAAACTTTTCTGATTTTCTTCATATGCTTCTAATACTGATAGTGTGTACTCATCTGTCCGTGACTGTGTTTTCCTCATACTGCGTTTTGTATATTTAACCTCGTATTACCTGGCACCTGCCACGGTGGTCTAGCGGTTAGAACGCTGGCCTTGTAATCCTGGGGTCTCGGGTTCGATTCCCGGCGGTGCCCGAATTTATAACTTGTGTTGGGCAAGGCCGTGGTCTAGGCAACACGGAGTTTTCCTCCGTGGCATCCCAACAATTACTCCATTCACACACAGAAGAAGGCAATGGCAAACCACTTCTGGATCATCTGCCAAGAACGTATATGAACAGGTCCCAGTCAGAGAAAAGGATGGAAGGATCCTGTTCATATGGACCTGTCGCCAGACAGAACACTACACAAAAAAAAATATTACCTGGCACGTTGCTCGTACTTCTTTTGGACTGGTTTCTGGAGGAGAAAAAAAAAAGCAACCTTATAAGGTTACTCCAGGAATGACAGTTTAAAATCCCCGACCTCATAGTTGCTAACGAGCTAGATGTTCAATTTTAGAGGTGGGAGAACTGCTAATGCATCCTGACAATTTATAAAATGCGTTAACAAAGTTCATCAAGTTCCATGATTTAAATTTTTGTGCTAAATGGAAGAGAATATATGAAATACGCATGTTTACTTTGTTGTTTTATGATAAGTTTTTAATTATATTGACTACGCACATGACATTTGTAACTTCGGAATATGACCACTAAAATCCAGAGAACCAGGCTGTTGCTCTACGTTCGTTTAGGAACTGCTTGTCTCTTCTTTCCATTTCAGCCAGGGTTAATACGGTTCATCAGTGATAATGAAGTGGTTAACGCTGTACACTGTGTAGTCCTGTATCAAACCTTCGGTTTAGGATTCAGCCGTTTCATTTGCAGTTCTTTTAAATTTTCTGCAAAAATTGCTCTTGCCATCTTTGGGGTGAATGAATGTCAAGAGAAGCTGTGAAAACAAAAGTCCAGAGAAATGTAAACTTTGAAGGGGTGTCAAGATGGAGTAAATTTTTTTTCTACGTTTGAAACTTAGGATTCAGACCATTGACCAGGACAGCGCATTAACCAAGCATTCCACTTTCGCCTCTTCAAGGTCCCTTCCGTGTCCTTTCCAGTTCATTATTCATTAACCATCTTGTAATTCATTGCTATATAATCTGAGCTGTTGGCACTGCAGTTAAGTAACCCCCCTCCCCGAATATTCATCGCCAGAACCAGAGGTTGATCTTATACTTTACACATCAGTTAGAAAATTTTAAAAGGAAAGTAATCATGTGTTGGTGTACTGGAAGTTGAGTAACTTTGTATTTTAACCCTTGCAGATGGTGTGGGTCTAAAGCAAATATTAGAATAGAAATATTTTAAATTTGTAAGGGTCCAAACAGTTGCTGATAAAACGTCTCTTGCAGTTGTACCTCCAACCTCTGCCAAGTGAAGCCACCGCTCAGCAGACCTCGCAGTGGCTACAGTCGAATCGATTTGGCTCGTATCTGCGAGTGTTTTCCAGCTTCTCGGGTGCAGATATCTTGCGACTTTCTCGCGATGATCTCATTCAGATCTGCGGCTTACCTGATGGAATACGTCTCTTCAATGCTCTGCATTCGAAGTGAGTGAGATTTTCACATTGATAACTAGAAGTTTGGTTTTAGGGAGGAACGTTGATTCTGACAATTGAAATATATACAGTAATAATGGCTGAAACACGCAGAAAGTAAGAAGAGGCTTTAAAATTTTGCACCACCACTAGTTGTGTGATGTTACTGATGTCAATGTTTTGTGGTTGGGGTGTTCAGTTGTATGAACTGTGGTGTTGAGTGAGATAACAGTGTCCATGGGAACGGTGTGGGATGAATTGTGGCCTGTTCGGATATACTATCTCAGGATCTACTTTGAAAACCTTTATATCGATTTTTGGGGTATGAACCATGTATCTTCTTGGTGGAAGTGGAGCACGTTAACCCTGTGCCAGCCTGGTAAGATTTGTTATGATTTTTGTGGATTTTTAGTGCGCTTGTTTGATTTTGACTGCATTGTGTGTTTATAAGTTCTGTGGGATTCTCAAAATAAACATCATCAACCATTTGATCTTTCAATTGGTGATGCATTGTCTGAACTTTGAGGTAAGAACTGTATTTTTAAATATTATGTAAGTGAGCTTTGGCTTCAAAGGGTTAACCTGCAGTGCTTGTTTTTCAGGGCCATTGCTCCACGCCTGACCCTTTATCTGTGTGTGGAGCAGAGCTCAGTATATCATGCCCTTTACCTGGACAGTTTGTCTTGCGCTGAAATGGCTAGCAAACTGGCTCAACTGATGGGCATTACCGCCGATCAGATACATGACATATATGTGCAAGGACCCGGAGGAATACATGTCCTTATAACTGACGATGTTGTACGCAACATCAAGGATGAGGCCATGTTTACCATTGAAATATTGCAAGGTGAGATGATAATGTATCTTGTATGCCGTCTTGAAAATCACACCGTTTCAGTCGGTCTTACTATTGTATGATTTTACAAAGTCTGTAACAGCTGCGTTATCGCACTTAGTAGTTGATGTACACAGTTCAGTTTTCAATATTTTCGTGTGCTGTAAGAAATTTTCTGACTTCTGGTTTAGATAAACATGTTCTTTAGTTCATTTTGTGCGTGCTGCCTTAGCGCTGTACCCATAGACAGTTATATTGCTCATGAACTTTAAAAGCAGGAGAAGTCGTACTTTTTTGAGTCATGTAATTTATAAATTTGTAGCGGTGCTTTGTTTCTGCTATCGTGGTCGTTTCTCAAATGTTTTAGTGTTCATATATCATTCTAATTAAAACTGTCATTTGTTTTAATTTTCAGATCAATCAGGAGAGAGGTATCGACTCCTGTTAAAACCTGCTTCGCGTTGAGACCAACTTTCAGAAATGGGTTAAAAACCATATTTTTTTAATCTCTGAAATGCTGCGCTCACTATATTCATACCATCACATTGACATAAAAGCAACATTGATCCCCCCCCCCCCCCCAA